TCTTCATCATAACATTTGTGATTTTGGTCTTTAGTAGCCTCCTTCACTGAACTAGCTGTTCCCAGCATATTTCCCAAATCTTCTTTCTGGGTAAAATTCTATTACATTTTATATGCAATATTATTGCATAGTCTCTCCCCCCCCCCCCCCCCCCCCCCCCCCCCCCCCCCCCACCCCCCCCAATCCTCCCATACTATTAGTGCAAGATTTTTTTCCCTCCTGCAAAAAAACAAGAAGGAAAAGATGGGAAAACTGCACAATGTTCTTTGGTTGGAAATATTGGAAATGTGGCTTCTGAGAATCAGTCCCGTTGATGGAATTTATGGGGAAAGTTGGCAATCGGCATTTCCCATTTTCTTGGTTGAAGTTTGAAGTTAAGAAAAGTAACGTTGGAAGAGATGTCCAGTGTCTGTGCCATTCTCTTGATCTAAATACAAAGCTCAGTAAAGACATCACAGCAAACAAACCACGTACGTATCAAATAAAACAATTAGCCAATCGAAGAATTCTACCGAGTATTTGAAGGTACAATTTATTTTTACATAAAAAGCTGTACTTGTGTTTTATGATCATATTAACCATCCAATACAAGATTTTCAAAAATACAACAGTTTTTGAAAACAAATGTTACATTTGCATAAAAAGATTACTATTACAGTATGTAAATAACACCCAACTATTTCTTTACATTCTGATATTTTACAATGTATGTTAAGATAGCAATAAATGTTGCAAACCTCTATCACATACAATAGGCCAAAAATCTGAAGATGATACACTTTTTTAGATTAGTGAATAACTTGTCCTTATTTTCACGGCATTTTCAAAGCTCCAGTTTCCAAAAATGTTATTTTGGTGGCAAAAAGCATATATAAGAGTATGTTAGTATTTTTTGCTCTACAGTTGCCATGGCTTAAATCTTTAGAATTATGTGTTTTAAAGGCATTCTTTAAAAAACAAAACAAATCCAACAGCAAACAAAAAGAATTCAACAAAGAATGTTAAAAATGCTAGTTTGGGCATTCATTTCAGCCCATTCTAATTTTTACTATGTCAAATACATTTGTTTAAGTGTCGTAAGAGGCAATGCTATATAGTTAATCGGCAAACAGATTAATCAGAGTTATTAGCATTACATTGCCACAGTACTACTGGTAAATCATATTTGATATTGCAACCTGGCATAAACTGTTTTAAAAGCATGTTGTATAAATACAACAGTAATAAAGTCAGTCAAAATGATCTTTGTTTTCTGCTAAATCTTTTTGTTGTTGTTTCTATAACAAGCAATATGACAGGCAAAAGAGGGCATATTCCACATTGAACCTTTTTTTAAAGAAACAACCTTTAAACAGGCATTATGTGCTTTTGACTTAGAAAAAGAATCACAAATATCAGTTATGTATATTTTAATAATCTGAACACTATTTAAACTTAATTAAAAATAAGATATTTTCTGAAGTGCTACCTTTACTGGACACACTACTGATTCTTCGAGCGCTTCTGGGTTTAAACCGAATTAAATCTATAAATCACAAAATTAAAAAATAATTATGTTATTTGTGAAAATTGAATTTTTAGGGATCTAAAATATTTGAAACCACAGGGTTAAGTTATTAGTAGTTCTGATCAAGCTGTTTTTACCTCTTGGGAAGGAACCTCAGTATTTCAGCTCCCAGGAATTTTAGTTCTTTTTAATAGGATAGAAGAAGATAGTTATTCCAACAAAATATATAGCATCCAGGGTTGTAGGGGGAAAAATAATATAAAAGAAGGAACTACTGTAATGAAAGAATATTTGAAACAAAGCTGAGGACACCATCAAACTAGAAATATTACAATATACAAAGTATTTTTGTGCTACACGTACCATTTCTCTAGCAATTTAATATAATTTGATTTATAGATATACGGTGATTTCTTCAAGAAATTATTTGTTTCTTTAGGGCAAGGCAAGACATTTGGGGACATTATCCAGCAAATGGCTTTTTAACTGCCCAAAATGAATCTGAACAGTCTTTAAGGGCTAAACTGCAATGCTAGTATTGGATCTGCTATGGATGCGTGTGAACTGATTTAGGCACTAAACCATACCTCCTAGCCCAATTTTCCTGACAGCCACCCTATGAGGTAAGTTGGGCTGAGAGAACATGATTGGCCCAGTCACCCAGCCAGCTTTCCTGCTTAAAAAAGGACTGGAACTCAAGAGTTTCCTGATTTCTAGCCTGATGCCTCAACCTCCAGACCAAACTGGCACACTGCTATTATGATCATTAGCTGTCAAGGCTATCAAGGCCCTTTATCCTTCTTCATGTTCCAATTTCATTATAATTTTCTAGTCCCAAATGGGCCAACTTTCATTAATCACATAATTAGCTTAATTTTAATTTCTGATTTTTGGGTAAAGGTTTACTATAACTTTCTCTACTTAGAGGCAATGGGAAATTTTTATTGTTTCAAGTTTAGGAGGGAATTGGAGCTTGAAAAAAATGAACTTGTGATAGTAGTCTAAATCATAGTTTTGAGTAGAGTATTTGAACTAAATCCTTATATGGTCTAGATTCAGAAATACCGTAGATTCAAAGGAGTAGTATCAAAATGATGTTGCCCTCCAATGCTAGTGCTCTACTAAACTCACTAAAGAGGCTCATCTGTTTCCACAAAGCGTTGAAAGCTTTCCTACGATCAGGAGGTCTGTCACATTTTTTCTTGTATTCTCTAACAATGGCCTTTGCTTCTTGTTCTAGCGGAGAAGGCAAGTCTGTGAAATACAGAATTTCAAGGTATGGGCACATGTTACAACTACGCTGACACATGATGATTTGCTACAATTTTTTTTAATGAATATCCTTCTTTGAAAATCAATAAAATACCAGAGGCACGTAGAACGAAAGTTGTGCAAAATACGTGCCTTTTTTTTTAAAAAAAAGGACAGTACATGTATATTAGGCAGTTGTTTATTTAGAACACATCTATAATTTTTTAAAGAATAGAATTACTGATGCTCTAAGATCACTATAGCATAAAGACCAGCTTATTTATTTTCTATATAAACTTCAAAAGATATGGAATATTACATTATTTGTAAAAATCTGTACGAGTTTCATGAATATATTCTCTACCTCAACTGTAAATACCACTCAGGAGCATTGGATGAGTATAGAAAATAATCAGTGTCCATGTCATGGTGTCCAATGCAAATAAATACATAAAAATCGGAGTATAATGGCCCATATTAAAAATGGTGGATATGGCACAGTATTACAGGATACATATTTTTGTGTCCTTTATGATTCTGCTGGGATAAGTCCTTTGTATACTGTTCTCTCTGATTAAGCTGTACGTGGAAAGGATAATGGAATGTGCTTGTTAAATTCATTCCATGACATTTTTGCTGTCTTTTACACGTAGCAGGCAACTACATGTACAGATGAAAAGTTACTTTGTTTATATAAGAGTTACCCTAAGATTTCAAAGCCCTGGATAATTAGAGTTCTAAAATTTTGGGGATACTCACCAAGCAGCATAGAAGCCCTAGTTGCAGTGATTTTCCAAATAGTGTATAGAGACGTGTTGTGGCCTGGCAGGAGCCGTTGGAGCTTCCGCCAGACTCCGACAGCGAGGGGTCTTATGAGTCGGCCTTGGAGGAGGTGGAGGACCCTGGACAGGGTGTCGACTCCGAGCAGGGCGAGGAGAGACTGGTTGGCCACCAGGTGGCGGCAGAGCATTGGATCAAAGGGAATGTTCAGGAAAACATTTGGGAGTTGTTTCAGGATGCATGCAGGCGAAGGGCTACTCAACGGAAAGAACAACGGAGTAACTACAGGAGGTGATTATGAGCAGCTGGTGCTGATTAAGATCCTCTCCTGATTATAAAAGGGACTGCTTGTGCCACGCCCTGGTTGCAGGAGTCAACGTTCTCGCTCGTGATTCAGAGAAACCAGCTTGGATAAGTGATTTGCTGAGAGAAGCTTGTTTAATTGCTGCCAGAGAGCTTATCTCTTTGTTTATTTTGGGCTTGCAGCCAACAAGAGTCTGGACTGATTAAAACATTCTTTCGTACATCTGTTTTTGCTTTCATTCCTGAACGGAGAAGGGGGGGGGGGTTTCAGAACAGAGACTATACTATAGACCCGTGATGGTGAACCTATGGCATGTGTGCCAGAGGTGGCATGCATGTGTGCCAGCCAGCTGTTCTTTGCAGGCACTGGAGCACCAGAAAACGGCCTGAAAACAGCTCCAAAAATGGCCAAGAAACAGGCTGTTTTTCGGACCATATTCCAGACTGTTTTCAGGCCGTTTTCAGGCCATTTTTGCCTGAAAACGGCCCAAAAAACAGGCATGCGCACGCACGCCAGCTGATATTTGGGTTTCCAGCACACCTTAGCACGCGCATATGCACGAACATTCCGGTTTGGGCACTCAGTGCAGAAAAGGTTTGCCATCCCTGCTTTAGACTGAGGAATATTATCAGGGCGAAGTTGCTTGCTGCCACTGCAAATCCTCCAATTCTAATTCTACATGAAAATTTGGTACATAAAATACTAGGCAACAGAATGTAGATGCTCCACAAATGTTATATTCAAAATGATTTATTATATCTATTTATCCAAATACATTTAAACAGATCTTTAAAGATATTGTGATAGATTACAGTTATTATTCTCAACCAGTCTTGCTTCAGAAAGTTATGGACTGGAGGAGTTGGGCAGTATTTTCCTCTCTGAATGCATCTACTGTTTTGCTTTCATTTACTCCCAAAAAATCAAATCATTACACTATTTTCATGATAGATTAGCTTGACTTTTTTTTCATATAATTAAAAAAGGGATTCAGTTAGCCATTCATTGACAGTTTAACCAAGAATTCAACCCAAAATATGAACCAATAAAATAAAGTAAGCCTAAATATTAGACAGGCTATTGCAATATTGCCTTGATTACAGCACATTGATTGTGTTGGGTATGGACAACACCCTGAATTTTTGACCCTGAATTAACTTTTTTAAAAACATTTTTTTTGTACTGAGGACTATATAATTCTTTTTCCTTGATGTCAAAATACATTGCTTTCTTTCAGATGATCAACTACAGTTCAATTAATAAGATAATAAATGAAAGCTAAGTTATTGCTAGCACATGCTGAATAATTGAGAAAGTCAAAGAATCATAAAAAGAAGTCAGTATATGATTCACTGATTATAGAACAGTCTTCAATTGTTTCAATCATGTAAAACGGCGGAATTTGTTTGGAAATATGGGAACCACAGAACATTTCACTGTCCTCATACAAAATCTATACATAGGTCAGGAAACCAGAGTATGGAGAGGACATAGCGAGAGACTGACCCCAGGCTGGCAAAGAAACGAGAAAAGGTTACATACTCACCCTTGTTTTACAACCTATATATGGAGTAAATATTGAGCAAAGCTGTATTGGAAGAAGAAGAGTCTCTCTTTAAAACTGGAAGAAGAAGAAATATCACTAACCTGACCTATATTGAAGACACTATTCTGATGGCTGAAAATGTAAATGATCTGTAAGATGTAGCAGTAAAATCAAGGAGCACCCAAAAAAATGAAATTAAGATTCTGGGCTGTATCTATACCTACGGAGATCAGAATTTTCTGGCAATAGTTTTCCCTGTAACATTCTATGAAAGTCTTGGACTTTGAAAAAGCACAATAGAAAGACTAATGAGGCTTTTGAACTTTGGTGTTGCAGAAGACTTTTGAGAATACCAGAGATAGCCAAGAAAATGGGTGGGTGGGGAGGAGGGGGAGATCAAATAAACGCACCCAAAATATAACACAAGAATTATACTTTCAAACTTGCAGGATTCTGTAATTGCAGCTTTACAGTAAAGCAGAAGCAACTTTATTGTATTTTTCTTGTCTGAGCTCACCTGGAAGTTTGATATTAAGAGCTGATGCTGACTTGATGGCACCTAACCAATTAATCAATCAGTCATGAACAATAGTTTTTAAGTCAATAAGGAATGACTTAAAGGTACTGTGTTTAATCATTTCATTCATTAGCACTCCAAGAGCAGTTGCCAAAATTACCATAGAGTCTTAACTGTATGCCATATGCACGGAGTCCTCATTAGGAGCTCAAGCACAATAGGTAAAATATGAAGCACAAAGCAGAATATGTTAGATCTGTTATCTGGGATCACGGAAACCCTACATTTCACAGAAGACCTTATATACTCTATAATAGCTCCATGGTTCTCAAAGGCAACTGGGAAGTTCTATACACACGCACAGGGTTCTTATGCCTTTTTAAGAGAGTACATCTCAGTGAACTATAACAAAAAGCTATAATGAAAAAACAGAAATAACCAAACAACAGAAATAACGAAACCAATATAATCTCCTCTTCCTCCTTCACTGCCCGTCAAATGTATTATTGACTCCTGTTTAGTTTCTTCAATAAAAATAGGTATAAACATTTTGTGCCTTAAATGGAAATAATTTCAATTATTTATTTATTTACATGATTTATTTGCCCACGCATTTCATAACAGAGACTCTGGACAATGGATTAAAACGAACATTACACCCTACAACTCATGAGGTCCAAAGTTAAAACATTAAACCAGGGGCGAAATCAACTNGAGAGAGAGAGAGAGAGAGAGGTATAATTCACAGATTCTCCAAATGTGAAATTGTACAGGCAATGTCAATTGTCTCTTTGCTCTTCCTAAATGCTGGTAGTTGACATATGGTTACAATGGAGCCTGGAATTGGGATCATAAGTCATTGTGTTTGTAAGTCAAGGCAGCACAAGACTGGACTCAATTTTATGGCTGTTCGAACAAGGGTCATAAAATGAATCAAACCATGTGGTTGTTAAATGAATTCATTTTCCTGGATATACATTATTTTTTTTGCTGGAAACTTGAAATTATTGCAAATTGTGGTCACATGACCATGGAACACTATAACTGGTCCTGTTTTCGCCAAGAACTTCCTACCAATTCCTGTTATTCATGTAGTCGTTGATAGAGATGTATGGCCATCTATTTTTGGAACCAATTATAAGGTTTATCACTAGAATCATTGGCAGAAGCGTTGCATGAAGATATTAAAAGTCTCTGAAAAAACAGGAAAAACCCACCCACAGATAATTTTAACGATTGATTCAGAGGAGGAACGATGATACCTGGAAGATTGCTACCCTTTTAAAATTATTATTTTTCCTTAGACTGATACAATAATATCATAATGGTTGTGGAAATTTTAAAATTCCATTCTTGTTATTGTGGCTTTAAAAAGAAAAGCTCCTAATTTCCCCCTGGGTTTTCTAGATTTGTACTACTTATCATGCATTTTTTGAATTTAACATACTACAGTAATATATAATTTACATTAGAATGCAAACTGTGAGTTACCATAAATATAAAAACATAAACTGACTTATGTGTTTTATTACCTTGATGAAAGTATGGATGATTTGCGAGAAAGGCTTTCCTTTGTCCTGGTTCTCCTTAATGTAAGCAGAGATTCATTGCTTGATATTTTGTCTTCAGGATAATCTTGTCTTTCATCTTGGATAAGTTCATCCCGTAGCTTCTTAAATCGTATCATCTCCTCCTCATTGGGCCATCCGTCGGACAAATCCAAACTGGATTTCATGATGTCTGCCAAATTTAATTTTTCAACAGGAGGCATTTCTATTGAAATAAAAAAAAAATGCTTTACACTCATAGATGGAACCAACTGGGAAGGGAAAATAGCAAGAAAGTTATTTTTTTGTTCCTTTTGGTTTAGAAATGCATATTTACACCCTCTCCCTTCCTTACTGTAATGTAATAAGCATAAAAAAAGAAAAGAAAACAGGAGCCTCACTAAACCCTCAGTTCAATAGTGCAGAGAATGAAAATAATATATGCATTTTTCTTGACTCAATCACTTTGGTTTATGCATCGGCAAGGGTGTGATCATGTGATGCAAATGTGCTCAGAATCTCTACCCCAGTGAAAAAAACTGAATTGTCAGATTTTGATTATATTTAAGCATTTTTAAACAAAACTAAATTAAAGTAAATAAACCAAACTTCAAAGTCCTCATTCCTGACCAATTCTTTTATGTCACTGAATAACATATCTTTGACTGCTTCCCAAAATATGAACATTAAAATAGTAACCTCCAAGTACTGACAGTTTATTTTCACACACACACACCCCCAACACACACACTTTTAACGGTTAATGGTCCAATTTGCCCCGTTCTTTTGCTTCCAGTAATTCTATTAATGAAATAATGGAAATTCTAAAAAAAAAATCCCACTCCTTTTATTCTACTTCTTAAAAGTAGGACTATTCAATTGGGTACCACTCTGCGTCCTATAAATTTGGATTACAACCAATAAGGTAGATATGATTTCTAATGTTCTCTGCTTAGATTTCAGAATCTGTCGGGGATCCAGCAGAAGGCCCTACATATGTAATGCATCTTATCTAACCTTGAGATGGATTTCAAATACTGCCCTATTATTAGCAAATATATCTTCCGCCACTGTAGTTGGAGTAAGGATTATACATCTAAAGCACGGGTGTCAAACTTGCCGCGTCTCGTTGCCGCCCTGACATTTCATTACGTTTTCCCCCTTTGTGGAGCTGTGGTGGGCGTGGTCTGTGTGAGACGCATCCGGCCCATCGGCCGCCAGTTTGACACCCCTGATCTAACACATCTTAAATTCTGTTGAAACATATTGTGACACCCTCTTCTTATGCAGGTGGCTCTTAATGAACGACCACAACTAAGCCCAAAATTTATGTTGGCAAGTGAGACAGTTGCTAAGTGAGTTTTGCCTCATTTTACAACCTTTCCTGCCACAGTTATTAAGTGAATCACTCCAGATGTTGTTACTAAAACAGTCGTGAAGTGAATCTGGCTTCCCCATTGACTTTGCTTGCCGGAAGGTCGCAAAAAGTGCTCACGTGACCCCTCATGACACAGCAACGGTCATAAATACGAGTCAGTTGCCAAGTGGCTGGATTTTGATCACGTGACCATGGAAATGCTGCAAAGGTTGTAACTATGAAAAACAGTCATAAGTCACATTTTTCAGGGCTGTTGTAACTTTGAATAGTCACTAAATGAGCTGCTGCTAAGTTGAGGACTACATGTATGTTATGCAGCTAATTTGATTGGACGCAAAAGAGAATCCCTGATTTCCTAATATGCTTTTTTGAAGTTTTCATAGGAATGTTAGAATGGGAAATGTTTCCTATCCATCACGTACTTTTGTTAATGTGGGGCCCTGGCAAGAAATGGTGTTGTGTAGAAGAAACAGGGTGTGTGTTTTGTTGAGGACTTTGTTGAGGATTAAAGTCTGGGTATTTAACTGAAGCTGGAAAACTCTGGATGCAGAGTTATATTTTATGCCTATTTTGAATCCCTAACTGACCAAACGTGCTCAGGTTACCCTCCTGGAGGAACCCTGGATGCTCTGGAGTTGACAGATTCACAGACCAAGTTGATACACTACTTCCGTCCTAGGTAAATTGTTGCACTGAAAGGCAATACAACGCAGCCAAGGGAACCTCGGCTCTACCGAAACTCTGCTTTTGAGTGGCATTTCGTATCTTAGTTTTGGTTTATATTATGTAAAATACGTCATCCATTGAAGCCGCACAGCCAGCAAATGCTGGACTGAATGCAATGTGCACATTGCTATAAGCGGTCTGGGGGGTCTAGAGGTCCACTGAATAGAAGAGAGTCGAGTCGAGTGGAGTGGAGTAGAGTAGACTATTCTTTATTGGCCAAGTGTGATTGGACATACAAGGAATTTGTCTTCAGTGCATAAGCTCCCAATGTAATAAAAGCTATAAATGACAAATCATGGTCATAGTCATCCTAAAAATATATTATTCATCATGAATCATTAGATACACCTGCAAAGTGGCTTATGGTATTGTAGGTAGGCTCTGGGAATAGGCCTTCCATCCTCCTGAGGTCAGTAAAATCAGGATTGGGGGCAATGTGCTGACTCTGTAAACCAGTTAAATCACTGTGAAGCAGTGTATATAATAAGTCTATTTGTTTAGCAACTGTTTGAAGTTACAATAGCATTAAAAAAAAGTGACTTACAACCAGTCCTTGAACTTATGAATGTCAAATCACTACAGTCAAGTGATCAAAATTCAACACCATGGTATTTACAGGAGTTGCAGTTACCCAGTAAGCCTCCAAGAAGCAAAATCAATGGGAAAAGCAGGATTTGCTTAACAACCCCGTGATTCACTTAACAACTACCATGATTTGCTTAACAACCATGGCAAAAAAAAAATTGGCCATGACTCACTTAACTGCCTTGTTTAGCAAAGGAAATTTTGGTTCCAGTTGTGGTCATAAATTGAGCACTATCGGTAGGAGGTTTTTGTTTTGTTTTGTTTTTACAGACAGATTCAAGGAAATTCTTGTATGGAAAATAAAGCCTAAGTTCGTAATTATCGAAGCAGAGCTGGTAATTATGAAATAGCTTCATCTTTTCAGGGATGCATAGCTTCTTCCAAATCTTCATTTAGCCACTTGACTCAGATAATTATATTAGTGCTTTTTATAAAATAATGTGCATTTCCTTTCACAGACTTGGGATCTCCCTGCCTGACTCAGAGGAAACATATGTTTTCTTTAATAAATACTGTACTAATTAATAAATCATATAACCCATATGAAGAAACACTGGACTACAATTTGGATTGTACAAGATGCATATAAGACACAGCAGACTCCCCATGTCGCTTGAGAATAGACCAAAAGAGATGTGTTTCTGCTATATTAGCCTTTAAACACATAAACTTTATATACATAAACATGCATACATCCAAGCTATGGAAAAAAACAAAAAAACCAAGAATCTGAAACAGGTCTCAAAAGCCTGTTAGGAGGTATCAATGAGGATATATACTAAGAAATCATAGCCCTATACCTCTGATTGCCAATTTCTGGCATTGGGGTATTAGAAAAGGTTTGGAAAGAAATAAAAAGAGGTAATTGCACAGTAGATCTTAAAGAATATGCTAACTGCGCTTTGCCTTTCTAGAACACAGTTCTAGAAGTGACAATAAAAAACTAAAAAATACTAAATACTAGTCTATTAAGGTAAGTGATTAAAGGTAAGGTTTGCTATGGTCTCTACTTTCTGGTACGAAGCTGTGCAGACAAGCCTGTTAGAACAATAAGCTTATTACTCTTTTTACTCTTAAAATGCAAATGCTATGCTGTGTGTGTGTGTGTGTGTGCACATACAAGTGTCTTCAAGTCATTTTTTGATTCGTGGCAACAGGCCTGGATAAGTGACCACAGTTTTTTTTTGCAAGGTTTTTTCAGAAACGGTTTTTGTTTTTTTTTAGATATGGTTTGCCGTTGCCTCCTTCCTAAGNTCCCACTGCCACCGGTTCGCCCAAGCTGGATAGAACCAGCTGAACTGCACCATTAAACTCTAAATCACAAAACTCAACTCAACAGCAAATCTCAGCTAATTTCCTGCCTCAAACATCAAGAAACGCAGGGACATCTTTAAAGCCTTGCAAAAGGTTACCCAGGTGGGCCCACCAGAGGGACAGAGAGCAAGTGCAGCCACAGAGGAAGCACAACCTCTGGGTCCAAAGAGAACACCCAGTCTGACCACAACAGATCACACAGGCCTCCACTGCAAGATTTGGTGGGCTCCGCAGAAACAACGGGAAAGACAGTCCCACAAATATTTTCCGGTCACTTGATGCCATTTCAGTTACTTAATTAGTTCAATACGGTTATTTCAAAAGCGTGCATTAAAATATTACTATACCTGGAGAAACAGACTCGGCATACTCAACATTTTGATGACGGTTCTTTCGGAGGAAGCATAAAATGCACGACAGGCCCTTCTGTATCACTTCAAGGGGGGGGAACTCCAGAGGGCAATGCCTGAGATTTAAGGCTGTCAGGGAAGCTACGTTGCCTGCCAGAAGAAGGAAGCCAAAGAGGCAATGTTAAAATGGTTGAGGAGAAAAAGATCTTCCTATTATTATTATTTAAGTGATTACTTAATGATAAAGTTACTTAGAAACAATGAGACTGTTGGGTCTGCAAGAAAACACACTTAGGGCATTCAAGTTTTAATACGTTTGTGGAAGAGCATGAAGGAAGAACGGCCCCTTGTCTCAGGCTCTTCCACAGCAGCCAAAGCTTCATAGAAAACGGCAGCTTTTGTCCTGTTTTCTGCTAATCCCAGTAAGTGAGGACCTCAGCAAACATTATTTACTTACTTACTTACTTACTTACTTACTTACTTACTTACTTACTTACCTCCTGCTTTGTATATCAAGCACACGGATTTTACCCGGGATAAGCAATTTGAAGAAACTCAGGTCCCAAGCCAGAGGTGGCATTCGGCAGGTTCTGACCAGTTCTGGAGAACCGATAGCGGAAAGTTTGAGTAGTTTGGAGAACCGGTCAATAGCACCTCTGACTAGCCCCACCCCCATCTATTCCCTGCCTCTCAAGTCCCAGCTGATCGGGAGGGAATGGGGATTTTGCAGTAACCTTCCCCCTGCCACGCCCACCAAGCCATGCCCATGGAAAGGGTAGTAAATTTTTTTGAATCCCACCACTTTCCCAAGCCATGCATGGGAACCAGTGCATGCCGTTCTAGGGGCACACAAAACCTCTCATGCTGCTGCGCTTTGTATCAGCTAAAGCTTCCAGATATACTTTGCAAGAGCAGCCTTATAGATTCACAACTGAGGGTCATCGGCAAACGATAATACCTGACTTCAATTAACAGATGACTTTAAACCTCAGACTCATGTAGATATTAAAGAGTAGGGGCAAGAGCATGGAGCCCAGAGACACAGGTCAGATGCCTCCAGGTCAAATTCTCCTCCCAGCCACTGAAAACACTGAATACTGTAAACCCAGCACTGCAACACTGTGCTCTCATTGCTAATTCTCTTAGGAGGATACCACGATATTAAAATCTGCTGAGAGATTACGGGGGGACTAGGAAAGATGCAGAAACAGGAGAAAGAACCAGGCATTGCAGCTTTCATCACCACAATTAAATGCCTAGTAAGGGCTCCTATTTACGCTTGCTTGGATTTACTCTTCAATTTTGATGAACAACTTGCTCAGAAAACCAAGAAGCACCTTAGGACAATGAGTGAAAAATCCAGTACAGGGTCCTCATCATAGGCTCATCCCAGACTGCCATCAAATACTTGGAAAACAATCTAAAGTCCTTCTGAAATCTTGCAAGGTCCATTAATTGCCCGGAGTGGGTTGGCTAAATGGGTCCCACTTTCTTACACTGGGGAGCCGAAATGCTCTGACAGGGCAAAGGACCAATTAAAGGTAGTCTTCAATTTACAGCTCATTTAGTGACCATTCAAACTTACAACGGCACTGTAAAGTGACTTATGACTGTTTTTCACACTTATGACTGTTGCAGCGTCCCTATAGTCACATGATCAAAATTCAGGTGCTTGGCCGTTGGCTCATATTTATGACGGTTGCAGTGACCCAGGGTTACATGATCCCCTTTTGTGACATTCTGACGAGCAAAGTCAACCGGGAAGCCAGATTCACTTAACAACAACGTCACTCTTAAAAACTGCAACTTAACTGTAGCAAAAAGGTCATAAAATAGAGCAAAGCTCACTTAACAAACGTCTCTTCTTAACAACATACATTTTGGGATCAACTGTGGTTGTAGGTTGAGGACTGCCTGTATATCATCCTCCACTTTCAAATCAGGTTGCAACTAATCTATGGCCCAAAGGGAAAAGTCTAATGGGTAACACCCTGGTATGGGTCAGGCTCCCCAATGGCTCCAATGCCCGTTTTGCAGCAGAATCTAGCAGTTCAAGGAGAAGGTCCCTTGTGCAGCAGGGACGCCAGTAGAGAAGCAATTGCTCTCTAGAACTCACCTTAACAAAACAGAGTAAGAGGACCACAGAGCTGGGAGGGACATTGGAGGTCTTCTAGTCCAACAGAAAACCCCATACAGTTCAAGACAATGGTTGTCTAATAATCTCTTCTTAAAGGCTTCCAGGGATGGAACACCCACAGCGCCTGGAGGCCAGAGGCTCCTTCAACCAGAAGGTCTTCTTCTGCTTGATTATCTGAACAGCAAAAACTCTGAAAATGCCATCCCCTCAGACCCAAGTTCTAAGATGCAGGAAGATCAGGTCCCGGTGGCTGCAGAGCCTAGTGATTCAATAGTCACCGGAGCCAACACTGATATCCTCCCCTCAGACGGCACAGGGCCCATCCTTCCTTCGCTAATACGGGTGCCAAGAAGCAGCACCAACTTCAGAGAATCCTTTGGCAAAGAAAGGACCTTGTGAACAAGCAGAAAGATGCTGACCTTGCAAGCAAGCCCCATGCATCATTACTGGCAACTACTGAGCAGGAAATGTTTCGGCCGAGTGTGCTTGGCGGGGAGAAGATTTAATCTATGCAGGCAGGGACTCCTTCTCTTACTGGAAGCAACTTCGGTATCTTCATTTGTGAATCCCCGTCCTTGGTTTCTGCTTGTTTTGACCTTGGTGTTGTTTCTGGCCAAGCATCTGACCCGTCCCTTGTACTTTTCAAGGTATTCTAAAGTAACGGATTACAAACTGCCTATTTCAGAGGTGGGTTACTCCCGGTTTGGCCCGGATTGGGCAAACCGATAGCAGCGGCGGCATGAGGCTCTGCCCACCCACCCAGACGCTTCCACGCATGTGCCTTCACGCACCTAAACTGGTATTTTAAAAATTGGGAACCCACCACTGGTCCATTTGGATTACACCTTCTCCCCTAGCCTCTCAAGTAAGCTGTCATGCGCACACACGTATTCTTTCTCTTGCCTCCCCTGCCTGCCTGCTGCCACCTACGTCCAGGTATCCAGCTTCCTAACGCTTTTTTACAAGTCCTGCTGCAAAATAATTGTTCATAAACTTTATAGGTGTCTGTGTGTGTATATATATTCCTGTACAAAATCTCTGCACGTTTGGACCCCAATTGCCTGCATTACGCCAGGACTTTGCCTGTCCACCGCACAAGCATTTTATTCTTACACTGAAGCCACGACACACACACACACACACACACACACACACACACACAAAAGCCATTAAGG